AATTTGACGTGTGAAGAAACCGAGCTACCGTTCCTCAGTTCATATTCATTTGAACCAAAATTTACGTGCGAGAGTCGAAGTTTGGCAGATCTACTTTAGCCTTTTCCAAGACTTCACAGAACAACCTTTTTTGAAAATACTTTCCATAGCTCAAAAATTAACTGACTCTGAAATATTTCTGTGAATTCTGACGAATAGAGATTAAGACTGAAAAATCTGGCTACAAGTGCATGAGAAAAAAATCCAAGGGTCCTTTTCAAACTTTGGAAAAGCGCTGAATTTTGTGATCGAAATCTTTCCCAGAGTGAGAGGGAAAAAAATAATTTCTACTTGCGTATCCTTGTTCCTCTTGACCTCGCACACCAGTGTGTCTGCTTTTTTTTCCATTATTCACTTCATCAGTAAGCAGGACTATTGAGGAACTCCGACCAACGGGTACCCCATTTGGTCATTAAAACAAATCCTTGAGCGTGAGGTTAAGGGCATGAGAATGGAATCCGTTAACTCGGAAGTTATGGGGTGTGCGAAGCAACGCTTACACCCGACATACTCATACAGACTCATTGCAACATCAAGTGTAAAAATGTAGCTCTATACTTATTGTCTTTTTGTTTCTTTGTTTTTTTCTGCTTCAACCATGATAAAATCGTTCACGGTTTCAAACAGTATTTACAACATTGAAGACCTTAAATCTGATTTAGAAGTCTTACTAACAAAATATCCATCGTTAACTGTCATTTTTGACATTGATACAATTCAAATTGTGGCAGAAAAAATATTTGGAAACGAGCGTGCTGTATTATTGACTGCTTTCGCAAGTCAATGGAAAGACGTATACATTCAAACGCATCAAAATATCTCGCAGCAAAATAAAGCGATCAAGCATGGTAAAAAAGCCATAGTGTCAGGAGCTTCGGTCAACGGATTAATTCAAACAGCAATTCTGGCAAAATCTGGATATATAGTCGATGTTTATGAATATAGAGAAAAATATACTAGAAACATACAGTGGGCAGGACGACAAGCACTAATTGATCAGTTGGCATCAATTGATCAACGTCTAGCCGACTATTTTTTACGTGAAATTGCACGACATATCCAGAAAGGATCTATTCGTCTATCAAACAGTGGAAAGAGACACCGTGAAGTGACCGTGCCTCGCAGAGGTGATCCGACCGCCTTACCATGTAATGGTGAGGAGCTGATGAATAGCAAGTCACTTGTAATTGTGGAAGCAAAAATATACAAACGTTTTCTCTACGACTAAGTGAAAAGTATACCCAATGTCAATTTTTTTCATGCACGAATACCGAAAATAATAGATTGCAATGGACAAAGTAATTATTGTCTAGAGGAAAATAATCCTATCGACTTGATTGTTTTGGCAGAAGGAGCTAACAGCGCCAGTCGGTCTCAACTAGGGGTTCGTTTCATCGAGGCTTCGCCTCGTAGACTACACATCGCCGAGCTATTACATATCGAACAAGGTGGATGCATGATAAGGCATTGGTGTCAGGAACGGGGACAACATCTACTCACAGGAACTATGTCACGAATGGGTTCTGGTAAAACATGGATCGTTGCTGATGTCTTATTAGAAAATATTGAACCTGGCGAAAAAATTCCAGAAGGACATGTTGAATATGTACTCGAAAGACAGCGGTTAATAAATGAAGAACTGTATAGACTAGCAGCCTCAGCAATGGAACTGCCTCTAAACGAAGTGAGACAAGCTAAGCTAGAAGGACTCGTTGAAGGATCGAGTCCAGGTCTATTTCACCTCAGTCAACATGTTTCAGAAACTGGGTCACATAGACAAAACCTCTTATTTAGCGGAGATACTGTTGCAAATGGACACTGAAGCGTTGGCGGCGGAATGCAAATAGGTATAATCTCCCATGGGCAACGTTTGAAAAAATTACTACTTGAGTTAGATCTTAACCGCATTCCTAAAAATGAAGCCATCCGTGAATATGGAATTGGCGTTGTCAATGATTCTATTGCTTGGCTTATTCGAAGAATACATGATTTCTATCCTACTATATGCGAAGAAAATATGTTTAATTGTTTCAAAGTGTGTATGGAGCAGTGAAAGAAGGATCCTTCAATATCACCTCACCAACGCTTAGAAACAATCTTATCAGCTAATGATTTTTCATGTTGTAAAAGTGTTAACAGTTGTTTTTGAACATTTTAAATAACGCTTGGCTCAATCAGTAGTGGATGCTCAGATCCTTCCATCGTAGGAAGTTGTGTGGGTGTGGGATGTGGGATGTGGTTATGAGTGTGGGTGTATCAGTGAAATTAAACATACACCCACACTGTCACTGCGGTCTTGAATATTCTCTTCACGTTCCGGCAACTACATTGGCATCTGCGGCTACATTAATTATACCGATACACTGACAACTACAACAGTATTTACACCCTGTATTTCATACATACCATCCAAGCCCAAAACAATGACACTCATGCTCGTAATAGTGATACGAGAGTGCTGATTGTTTGTGTTGGAAAAGCAACTAAGGGCGTGGATGTCAACGTATGGATGTGAGGTTCACGTCAGTGTAAATTTCACTGTCGTAGACGGAGCGTGAAGAAAATATCAAAAAAATACAGTGACAGTGGAAGTTATACCCACACCCACACCCACATCCTTACTTTTTCGTAGAAGAATGAAGCATTTAATTGAATATCGGAGTGGCATCGAATTTCTCTTAATCGAAGGATTATGCTGAGTGCTTCTTAACTTTCGATGAATGTGAAAAATATTGCCTCTTCATTATATATAACGACGAAAACATTTACTATTCTATTTCATTGAAAAACAAGCGATGGCCTCAATAGTTATCCGCTGTTTTGTGCTCGTTGTATTCAGATAGTTCTAAAAACCATATTTTTTCTATTCCTATAACATTGCACAATCTTCTTTTGAAACCTCAAAGGTTTCTTTCTTGTTTTAGCTTTTTCGTTCTGCTTTTTATTTAGTACTTTGGTGTTTGGATGTGAGTGAGTGTGGATGTGGGTGTGGGTGGGTATGGATGTGGATGTTGGTGGGTGTGCCTGTGAGTGTGAGTGGGTATGACTGTAGATGTTGGTGGGTAGGGCCGTGGGTGTTGGTGGGTGTGGATGTGGGCATGGGTGCAGGATGTGGACGATAAGAAGAATAGCAATCGCACGCACACCCACACTCACACCCATACACACATTCACACACCCACACCCACACCCGCATCCACACACCCACACTCCAAGATATTATTCAAAAACAAACCTACTGATTATCCGTCAATGGACTTAATTGAAAACAAGCTTACAATAATCTAAGAATTGTTACTCAAATAATGTGCAATATGTCTATATATTCTAAATATTCTTATATATTCGTAGTTTGATTGTAATTCATATTTGTTTATAAATGTGCTCCTTTTTTGCTATTCAGTAGACAATGTAGATCTTAAATTGTCGTATTAATCTAATAAAAAGAAAAGATGTGAAAATGGAAGATGAATGATGGTATGGATGTGTGGGTGTGGGTGTGGGTGTGGGTGTGGGTGTGGGTGTGGGTGTGGGTGTGGGTGTGGGTGTGGGTGTGGGTGTGGGTGTGGGTGTGAATGTGAGTGTGGATGTGGGTGTGATTGGAGTTCTGGGCGTGTGAAGACAGCACTCGCACGTACATTCATCCACCCACACTCACACCCTACACCCACATCCCTAGAAAAATGCTATGATACTGTAACTGCTCCAATCTTTTAATTCTTGCTTTAAACCATAGTAACAACTACCACATTGATTCGGTCAGATACTAAGATATCTCATCTCCTTACTCTCTTCATCCATATCATCCCTATCAGATCAATCATCTATTAAAACCTTTACCTCTCACCGTCTCCCATACTCACACTTTCGCTCATACCTTCACCTATCGACTATCTATTATACATGTATTATGTATAATACCACAGAAAAAGCTATATTATACTAAGTATTTCGCAATAATGTCTTTGCTGATGAAATGTATGTGTTTTTTGGTGATCTAAAGTATATTGTCCCAATATTTAACGTATTTCCTTAGAAATAATATATGGATGCCGAATATTTGATTCATTCAACAAAGATAAATTGTCGAGATGTATTTAAAAATTCTTCATTACTTTATGAGTAAAACTTAAATGTCAATAATAGAAATGAACAATTCAATACTTGTTGAATCTGATAATTAACATTGAAAAATGATTGAACTATGTCACAACCATCAAGATAATTGAATATTTCATAAAAATTTTATTCGACAAATCTTTAACACAAATTATCGAACTGATAAATTCATTTACGATCATCAAAATAGAAACAAATATCTATACTCCCCATCGAATGCATAGCTTCTTCCGAAATTTTTGGTTTTTTTCTCCAATGATCGCTTAAAAATTCATTATCTTCTAACTTCATTCAAATGTATAAAAAGGAATAAGGGAGAAATAGATAGCCGAAACAACATAGAATTATACGATAAAGACTAATAGATAATAACCAGAATGATAGTAGAAATATGAGCTCTTCTTTTAACTCAATACCTCTCCAATACTTCCATTATAATTTATTTATTAGTTTGATTGCAAAACAAATACAATTTTTCGATTAGTCATTACCATTGGAAGTACATATTATCATTGATGCGTTTAATTTTAAAATGATCAAGTAATTGTTCACGTAGAAGCATCTGTTGTATGTAATCAATCATTTAATCATCTAATGCTGGAACATGACAACATAATAAACGCAGATGATCATTACATTCATTATTAATTTTCTTCAAAATATTTCGTACAAATAATTCAATATTCATATTGTTTAGGTATCCCACTTGCAGATATATAGTAACAGGAAAAAGTGCCATAATAAAGTTGAAGTCTTCCATACTGCTGAAAACTTGAAGGTAAACTTTATTAATATGAATTCGTGTGATTGAAGAAGTATGAAAATATTCATCATCAAGTTCTTCAATCTGTATATTCGATGCCAAAGAATGAAATTTTAATGTTATTACATCTGGCAATTGTTTGACCAATCGAATTAACATACGCGGGTACTAAATGTTCTTCAATAATTTCCAAATGATGCATTTGTGTTATTGTTAACACACGTTTGATTCTTTCGAATAACATTTCAAGATAAAAAGGATTAAGATCAATTGCTAACATTAAACTAGTTGATGTTGAATATTCAATATTCTTATCATCTATATAATCATACCAGGTTTTTCTGGAAAAAAAACAGAAGAATTAATTTTCTATAAAAAATATTCATCGATATACTTGTATGGATAAATCATATATTTGATATCTGTATCATCAATTTTAACATGAAATATCCATTTTCGTTCAATCCAAAATGTTGAAGAAAATTGATTTATTTGTCCAGGATATATTTCATATTGATTATCATTATTCATACGATCATAATATGTGAAATAGCATTTTTCTAATTGAGGATAATAATATGAAATAAATTGTTTCCATCGATGAGCATCAAGAAAAATGATTTTTTCTGAACAATTAATAGACAAGATCTTTAAAGTTGAAGATATATTAAATAAGAATGTTTTTAATTCATAAAATGACGTTTTGCACATATGTAAATAAATAAACACCAAATTAATTAATGCAATTGATTGTAACGTCGTAATATTTGAATCAGTTTGATGAATAGTTAATTGATGAAGTTCTGGCGTATACGAAATTAATGACTCAAGTCCATTTAAAGAACAATGATGATTGATAATAAGACGTTCAAGTGGACTGCATTCGTTATTTGTCGCTAATGGAAGTGTAACTAAATGGTCATCATTAAAACAGAACATACGATAATATTTTAATTTACGTAAAAACAAATATTAATCGATATATATCATTAATTTTTTCTTTAATATACCATGTTTCAATTGTGAACGTGAAAAGACGTGGTAAATACGATAAACTGAATAAAATTAGAATAAGTATATCGGATTGAATGACTTTAAACAGAATACATACATCACGAGTATAACCAGCTGATGAAAATAATTCATGAATGTTTTCTTTATTACATTTGAAATCGAGTTAAAATAAAATTTTTCTTTTATTTAAAATAAATATACAAAATAGAATTACTTACATTATCAATAAAGCTTGTATTTGTAATAGGTTCTTCAATACCTAATCTTTGTGAGACATATGATGAAATATCAGTAAGAGATAAATAAGCGGAAAATAATGTAGTAATACGGTTAAAATCTGTTATTTAAGATGAACAAGATATATTATTGGTATTTTCACTTGTATGATCAAATTGATCTGATAGATTACAATGATCTTGAAGCATGTTATTCTTTTGAAACAGACATTCTTCGAGTGTTTGATATTTAGCTGGAACTGTTTGATAATCTTGGATGTGGGTGGGTGTGGAGTGTGGATGTGGGTAAGGGTGAGGGAGTGTGGGGGTGTGGGTGTGGTGTGAGGGTGGGTGTGGGTGTGAGTGTTTGAATGTGGGGTGTGGGTGTGTGAATGTGGGGTGTGAGTGTGTGAATGTGGGTGTCGGTGTGTGTATGTGGGTGTGGGTGTTGGAATGTGAGTGTGGGTGTGTGTCTCGTACTAATAAACATAGCACCCACACCCACACCCACACACATCCACATCCACCCACACCCACACCCACACCCCCATTGTGCGTTTAGAATTACACTGCATCTTGAATTTTCGTAACACGTTTGGAGAACCTGGTCTATCCTACTTTAAGATAATTCTTGATCATCTCCTCGGTATACTAGACCCTTATTCGAATTATAATTCATAAGTGAGCGAAACTTTTTCTTTTTCATTTTTCCTGCGAAGCCATGAACGTGCCGATATAATTCAATTTACCATTTAGAATTCAGGTAAAAATTTATCTTTTTCGCTTTGTTGGTGCATTTGTATGACAGTCTAGTTAAAATTAAAATTTATAATTCAGGCAAGAAATTTAACTTTTCCTAGACTTATATGAGTGCCTCATCTCATTTATAAATTTATAAAATTTATAATTGGTAAAAATTTTATCTTTTGCTTTTACCTAGTAGTTTAAGGATATGATTTTACAATTTTCATTTATATTCGAAGTCGAGTTTGACGGCTACTCCTTTCACGATCTATGAGACAAATAACGAATGAATCCGACTCACTACTTTCATACTTTGACAATAACTACAAATGATGTTTACAAAAAAAACTTACGCATGGATAAATGAGAATTTTTAACTTCAATGCATTGATGACCAGTCGTTCGTTTGTAATCAGCAAGACCATCAAGACCTGAACAGAGCAAATTTATACCACCAGCATTTTTCAGATCAGATGGAGAATAAAAACCAAATGTGGACAAGATAACATCACCTTCGTCATGACATAAAAAAGTATCAATTGTTGCTAAATTTTTGGTAATTGCTAATTCTGTACACACTTCCATCATAAATGATGCCTTTAACATCCTGCTTGATGTTGAAGATGATTCTTGACCCTGTCGTGTAGTAATTTGATCAAGATCAATTTTATTTGTGTTTTTATCAATATTTCGATAGTAAGTAGCTTCATAATGATGACCAAGACTGTTGATGCCGTGACGGATTAATTTGACATAACTGCTTTTATTTGTTCCTAGAGAATGACAACAGTTTATGATGTTGTACAAATACATATCGATCAACACTCATCTTCATTGTATGCTATCTATGCGCAATGACAAGCTAATTTTGTGAAACACGATCTGAAAGGAGTGTTGAAGTATATAGGGTAGAAATTCGCGTCCATCTCCTTCCCCTTCTCCCCTCACAGATTGTGACAGACATCTTAAGTAATTAATTAGTATTTAGTTAACTAATTAGTCGTCACAGACCGTGACAGACACGACCTGGACCCACTTCGGACCGTGACAGACACGTCCATACGTACAAGAACGAAAAAGAAAAGAAAAACCAATTCAACCATTTTAGCATCACGAAATGTCTGATGAAGATAAACCTCGTTTATCGAAACGTCACAACTAAAAAGTGACTTATACGTCATATTGTTTCTTAACAGTCTAGAGGTGAGAACGATAGAAATAATTTGATTTTCGAATTTTTTTTCAAAATACCTGTCTTTCCAACTAATAACGAACCATGATTGAGCATTACTGGTATATTATTAGAATTATTAATGAAAGAACGATTTGATATTGCACCGAGAGCAGTCAATGTAACAAATAGAAGTGTATCAGGTTGGAGACCAAATAACTCGTATTGACGAAGAACTCGTTGTAAGTAGCCATGACTGACTACATCATTTATATTTAATCGTTCACGTTTATTGAGTTCATCAAGATTGATTGTCACTTGTTGACTATAGTCGATCGACGTCGCAAGACGTGATCGACTCATTGAAACTAATCTATAAAAATGAAACATGATATTGTCACGAAAAATACAATAATTCTTAAAAGTACTAATCTTTTAACTTAATAATAGCAAAGTATCAAAATCGTGTATTAATTTTACGGCATTTTTTACATGAAAACAGAAAGGCATAATCGGTTTTTCAGATTTTAATAAACTACTATGATTAGCAATACTGTATTTATGCAAATTCGAACTACAAATCGTGTTAAAGACACATGGAAATAAGAATAATGTTCTAAAACATTCATTATAAAAGCATTTTTTTCAAATACATCCTTTATCAAAATTTAACTATTTTTCTTACGTTACATAAAGTATATCACTCATTCCTTATGTTGATAGAATAGGGCGTGTTCACTTATATAAATATAAAGAAATATTTCGTTATTCTTCTGCTGCTCATATACTACTCGTTTGCGTGACTTCGAATCCTTTTCATCACAAAGAATTTCATTTCATTTACCGAGGAAGTTTTTCCAAAAAAGGTGTATCAGCTATTACAAGCATTTCTAATGGAATCGTGAAAGTAACGAGAGACTGTTACTATTCACCAAAGATATCATCTGTAAATAACAGGACAATGCCCTTGCATCCTACCACATCATACATTTTGTTACTGACGACAGGGAACCATCACTCACACAAAAGAATATCATAATAACCTACTTGCGATTCTGTACTCTTCTCTAGAAACGTTCAAATGGAAAGTTTTCTGAAAATGATGCAAGTGGTGACAAGCAGATAGAACAGTAAGACTGATAATTATTCGTAAAGAAATCTACTACAAAGTGGGTGAAGGGTACAAAACTTGAATGATGTTGTTTTTGCTTTAGTTAGAAATGCATTACGA